ACTATCTCGCCTTTATGTAAACCACGGGAGAAAACTCATTTTCACATTTTCCCAGCGTCCCACCTCTCTTCCAATCAACACTCTACCATTCTTCTCTTCATACACGGAGTATGTGGAAAAACATTCTTTATATATGACACGTCCGTAATACACGGGGAAAATGGAATTATAAAACAGGGCGTCCGGCGAGTTTTACTGAAATTTGAAATTTATTAAATTATGGAAGGTTGTTTGAATTCTTTTTCAACTTGAGACATTAGAATGTTTATACCTTTTATATAGCCTATTGTTTAAGATTAAATAATTAAATGTGACAGTTTTGATTTTAAGTGGTCATATTTATTACATAGAGAAATCAGGAAAGTTAGGTAATTAAATTAAGTTATACAATTTTGTATAACTTTGGCTACCACATACTTTAAAAGGTCAGCAAGAATATTATTTGATAAAAATTGTTTTATTGGTTAATGCCTTTTAGTTTGACACAATTTATAAGTTGGTTTACGCACAACACGTGAATACATTTAATTTGATCAAAAATACTACCTACTTTCATGAACTACTTGTATAAGGCAAGTGATTGAGGTACAAAACTAGATTAGTGAACTGCGTTCAATATTCATTAGTTCTATGAATAAATAAAAAAATAGACACTGCAGAAAATCAATCTTAATCCCAATTCTGAAACTATATAGCCTAGTATAATTTATTTTCTGCATCTCTTTTTCCAGAATACAAAATAATACCTTACATCAATCTATCAAAATAGAATTTTTAAACAATCTCTCATAACCATATTGAACTCAACACCACCTAAAAGGACTTTTAAAAACATTTTAAAAATCTTGAGCTTTTCAAAATATAATCCTACACAAAAAACAAAAAGATTATTTAGAATAAATATTAACTAGCCTAGTTGAAATTTTTACTTTAAACCAACTGATAAATAGGACATGTTTTTATTCTCCGCACATAGAACGTTTTTGTAACTAAATTTATCAAAACCGAATATTTCTATTCTCATGAAACGTTGAGTATATTTTGTTTCAGAAAAAACGCCACAATAAAAATAACGTCTCCGTCCAGCCCTCGAGGTCTTCACCCCTACGAGATGACACTTCAGGGACGTTTTATATCTCAGTACAATTTAATTCCAAAGTAGTTGCAACTGTATTGATGGCCGTATACCAAACAACTTTAGTGCACTATAAAACTGCAGCCTAGGAATATTGCGAGAGAATTACATGTACGGTTATTCTGTATGAATGTCAAGTAACAATATACGAGCGAGACATAATAATTCCAATTCTGATAGAAAATATAGCATACAATTCAGTTGGAGTTTTTTACAATTTCATTGTTTTCGTAAATGTGTTTTTTCGCCTCATACTATGAAAGTTGAAACGTTGAGATTCAGGATTTTTCAAGGTTAAAACCTTAATAATTGTACAGTATAGTGTCTCGGACTTCGGGGCAGGAGGGACGGACTCGATTCCCAGCTTTTCCACAACTCATGGGTTTGGACCGCTTTCCATAAGTTTTTTACTTGAATATTGAATACACTGTATACTGTCTCTCCTATAAATATGCCGCTGGCTTCAATGTAAAAAAAGTAAGAGTCTTTTAAAATAACACCCAAGTAAAAATATCTTAGAATAGACAAACACTGAGGATACCCCAACCAATGAAAAAGTCTGGCATACGATTAGAAAAAAATATATCTGCAAGAACTATGTCAATCTACAATCAAAAATCAAATCTTTAGCCTTGAATTGTAAAATAAAATTAATTAACTTTAGTAATTACCTAATACATAAACGGATTAGGATTTTAATGAGAGAAAAATTAGAATGTTCATTTGAAGTTAAATGTTCAAGGATATAGTGTTCAAGGAATGACGAATTTATAATTGACTAAAATCAGCTGTTTCTATTGGGAGGAATATAAAGTTGATTAAATTCCCAACAATCAAACACACCTAAGTCAAGTTTTGAATCGTCACATGAACTAACTTACCAAACTACTTTCACAAGCTCTATATTCTCTCAGCTGCTTAGTAATTTGACATTTTACATTTACACATTACAGGTTAAATCTTAACATTAAGCTATAAAATCTATATCGGAAAAAAACGCACATTATGCATGTACGAATCTACGAATGTATCTTTACAAGCAAAGAGAAGTTGAAGGAGGCTGTTTTTGTAATTAAGGATGCTTTGATGGAGTCGTGTCTTATTAGCATACAATGAGACTTGATGCTGAAACGTATCTGGAATATACAGACTATCAGCCGAATATCATAACCTTTTCAACATGTGCTAGTCAATTATCTGTGGAGTAAGCCACCTTACACTGTGTAAAACATCACCAGATTATAATGAGTTTAGGAAATAATAATTTTGAATCAAACAAAATATATAGGCTAATGGTAAAATTTTTTAATAGATAGGTACCGCAGAGGTCGTCCAGTGGTCAAAAACTCAACCAAAAATATGTAATGCACAGACTTATATATTTTCATCCCCACTGTAAATAAAACATGTGATTAGAATTTCTCTTATTTGTTTTGATTTTCTGTTTATATTTCGTTGGTTATTTCGTCACCAGAATGGCAACCCATAACACCCATGTTTTTGTGCTTATTTGTTAGCCTATTTTAATTTATAAAGGGGTTCTGCACATATACAGGAAAATATATTTAACAGTATGCATAGATTTTCCCTGTGACAGCACATGAGCTGAGACAAAGAGGTTTTCAAGAAACATGCTTGCCTATAGGATGTTTTCTTAATTTGTAGATATAGCATAACTGGTGTAAATTTAGGGTAACATGTACATTTTGAATTTGCATGTATTAATTTCAATTCCAGAAAATGTATTCAATGTACTGTGGACAGGAAACAGATACATGAAAATCATTTAAAATCCTATATAAGTTAACATTTTTAGATAATTTTACAAAGGTATTATTATTATTTTAAACTATGACAGTCGCAGGGCTAGCAAGTGTAAGGTGTATGGTACAACGGGGTTTGTGGCTTTTTACCCATAAGCTATAATAACTGCTTTGCTATACAACCTCAGAAAATAAATCAGTAATTGGAAAGCTTCAAGCAATTCCGCAGTCCGTACCTACCTTGTATTATGTTTACATTCAACTATATCTTTTGACATTAAATATTGGCTAGTTCAGAGTGGCACCTTACCAAAAGGGATCAACGATGCCCGCACTCATCATCGGTATTGTAGCGTATATGTTAATATGAGTGTGTAGGCTATTTTAAGCAAGGGTACTAAAGAACTAAAAGAATCTGATACCCAGAAAGTGCCAAATGAATACAAAACTACTTTTGCTGATGCGTTAATGCCTCCCTAAGGAGGGAAGAGACTTGAAAGAAAAACTACAATAGCCTAAGATTCAACTGAGTAAAAACTAAACTGCATAGGTCAGCGGTTCTGGTTTTATATGCCACAGAAGTAGCAAATTCTAGGGATGGTTTTCTAACTATTTCCTAGCGGAGGAACTCCAATGGTCGAAGAGGAAAGCTGATAGATGTCCCAGAACCACCCGGACTTTGATAACGGAGGTAAATATCTATTTGGATTGGACTGTTCACCTACAGACTTAAATTGAGACCCATATTTAAATACCCTCGATGGCTTGTAATGTTTCAATATGACAGCGGGGGATGAAAAATATAAGTAACCAATTTTTTATGGCGCAACTCAATAGGTAATATGAATTAGAATTATTAAGCCTAACATGAGAATGAAGCACGATGGTGAAATATCATAAACATGGATAAGAGTTCTTAGTTACCCTATGTAACTTTGAGTAGGCCGAGGCCATTGGCCTAAATTAAAGTCTAGCACTGTCGACAGCACAATTAGGCGAATTAAAACTAGCCTACATCTCTTAGGGTAAAAACACAGTGAAGCAGGGCAGGAAGCTGGTAGCCTGGCCGGTCGCTTACTGCGATGTAGAATTAAAGCACGTGTTGTTATGGGTACGCACACAGTCGCGCCTAGCAGGTAGCCGACATGGTAGCAGTAAGCTAGGCGGCAAGCTAGAAGAATTGCCAAGTCGATTGTTTGGGAGCTGCAAGCGGGGAAGGCTCGACTGGGGCATGCGCAAATAGCAGAACTTGACAGCTACGTGTTCTCGAGTTTGCAAGTTCCACGCAGGATCTTTCCCTGCGCATTCTTTGTATACGGAGTGTTGTTTGTTTTAGTTGATTTATTTGGTTGTTGTTTTCTTTACCTACATGAAATAAAATATAAAATAATGGACGTAGAAAATTTAATATCAGAAGTTTTTATCCGTGCTCCTTTGTTGAACCAAACCTATCCGGGACCACCTCAACCGTCACGTACTCAACGATCTGTAGAATGAAACAGCAAATGAACTAGGATTCAAACATAAGTTTATCCTATCCTATCGGCAGCTGACAAGCGACTGTATTGAGCACCACTGTGTGTATGTCCCAGCTACCCTCCAGGTAACCAGCCGTAATGCGGGGACCAGCGTATATGCGAGTATGCGACCTGCCCGGCTCCACTGTGTTTTTACCCTTAGACTGGCTTGGCTCTCAGCATTTCAAGGACTAAGGCCGGACTTATCCGGAATCTAATAGGCCTACTGTATGCATTAAAAACACTGAGTAAAATATTGTCGTGTGTGTCTTTCTTGGGTAGAAGTAATTGCAATTCAACAATATAATACTACCATAGTATGTTTAGCAGGTATAAAACTACATTGGTAGGTACTTCAGAATAAAAATTTTGCCAATATGTATCGTTATCGCGGTTTACCGCGCTAAAAAAATGAATAACGTAGGCCAACACTTGATCTGAGTAGCCTGTTCTCAAATCTTTAAAAATAAGACAAAGCATCCACACACATTATAAATAGAGTAGGCTAATACAAATTGCAATGGAGTAGTACGCACAGCACTTACTATAAATAGGTAAAGCCAAAGGAATAAAAATTGTTCTTACCTTGGAGCGGTCCATACGTTCCAACCGACAATCCATCAGCTGTTTGCTGTACAGAGCTCTAGCCAAAGCACCACGAGGCCGGAACATCTGTCGCATTGTTGCCATCTGATTGTCTTCCATCTCACAGAGGTCGCAAGATATCCTGGAATGATTGCGCTGCTGACTCGACTGTCTGTACGTCATGGTTGTAAGTATAACTGCAAGAGGAACCGTTGCAATTGCTGCTGCTTTATAGTTTAAAAGCATTTAAGGAACTCGTCTAACCTGAAACAGATAAAATTTTTTATCATAAATGGAAGCTTTCAATTAAACAGAAAGCATTAGGCCGCAGATACGAGCATTAGCAAAGTTTCGATAACTGAAATTGGTTAACCTTGCTAGGTGTCACGAGTATGTGTGTCAATGTCTTAAAACAAAGTGATTCTAGCAAACAAATTTGTCTTTATGGAGTAGTCTCTGAATTGTTAAATTAAGCAAAGGTGAGGTTTATAGCTCCTACTGTGCTACTGTCAAAACGATCCCGTGTAGTTAGAGCGACTTATTATAGCCAAAAACTTCAAGCTGCCATATACCTCAAAGGACAAGTATTAAATAACAAAACTGAAAACATGGAGACAAAAAAACACATTTTGACAAAAAAATTGGTCAAGTACTACTTGGCTAACTAAGCGGTACCGGTGAATAGCGAGTCAAGATTAAGTTCATGCATCGAAACAAGTGTTCTAGCCGACTTGTGAATAGGCTATTCTATCAGTTACATACAATGTAAGTTAGAATGAATTGAGAATATATTGTGATTATTTTAATAGACTAGCCTACTCTTAATATAATGCGACAGATCCATGAACCAAATCAAAAACAAGCAATGGTAGGACTTAAGTTGTTACCCATGCGCCACGTAGTTGATTCAACCTCAAATTCTTGGTATTCGACTTTGCCTAAGTTAACAACACATAAAATAAATAACAAACATTTCATTCGAGAGTTTTGGTCACTAAGAAATGTACCATACAAATTGGGTAGGCTAGTAAAAAGTAGCCCTATTTCAACGTGTTGCAAGGATCGTAAAAAGGGAACTACTTACAACTAAACATTCTATGCAGCCTAATCAGTATTTTTAAAGGTATAAGGTTAATTTATAGTTGATCAAAGCTAAATTTTACTGGACCAGTGATAGATTAGGCCTACTTAAATCGCAGCAAAGAGTTAGCTATAACTTAACCCTACAGTTCTTACTGTAGTATATTAATCATGAACATTTAACAAGCTGGATTCTCAGTGTTATATACTGTGATACAGTGCTGACTAAATAAGGGTTATAGATCTGTTTTAAAAAGATATTTCTATACAGGAAATGCATACTTTCATAGGTTTGTTAGAAGTTGTTTGATGAAGACATAACCTCAAACTCACTTTGAAATTGAAAAATAGGTGTTTATAGTAATATTTACATTATTATTTCAGGGAACTTACACCTTATCGTTGAATAAGTTTGATAACTCTAATGACACTTAGATACCATTAACATAGTTTACAGCCGGTAAAGATATTAGCAAAACAATAACCTCTAAAAGTATGTTCTAGTTCTACCTACAAGGAAACTACAGGACTTTTCTACTTACATCACGAAACAGCAAATGATTTAGTTATCATTAAGTCAACGATTGTGCGCAATAGTTTGCACTATCAAAATAATGTTTGTAAATAATCAATAGCACAAAATTTATGGTGTATTATGACAGTACATCTGAGAATAAAACAAACAAATCTACAATCAACACCAACAGTGTAGTCAAGTCAGCTGATTGGGAATTGGGATTGGATTCGTCTTCGTCGTCTGTAGTGTTAGCCAATGCCACCTAAAGCCAATATACATAGCATGTTCATGTAAAAATATACAAATGCTTTGTTTTAGAAAAAAAGTCACACTAAAAATTGGATTTTAAAGCGATAGTTCTGAAGAGTTGAAGTGTACTTTTCCTGCAGCAAGTTCAGTAGAAACATTGTTTGCAGCCACCAACAGACTAACAGACTAAACAAAGATAGTACACTGTACAGTATAGTATTCCCAAGTACACCATGAGTGGCCAAATTTATGTTAGTTTGTCTAGACAAATCATTATTATGGATTAACTAATTTTCCAAAACCATAACCATACCACATATAGCAGAAAGAACACTCTTAACTTCGTGCTTTGGCCACGGCCTAGTAGACTTGGCAATGGCAACGTCGCAAGTAGTGTTGTTTTTTAGTTTCTTACGCCCCATAAGATAACATGGCTGACAGGGGACGCCAGCTCATTAATCCGCGTATTATGCATTTCAATTTAAATGTAAGAACATAAATTTATTAAAAGATAGAAATTAAAACATAACATTGAAAACCAAAACAATATAAATTGAAAATCTATTTCAGTATATTTAAAAATGGGTCAATATTTTCATAGCCTAGTAACCAAGCTTTCATTTTTTATATCCAAAAGTACCATTAAATGCCTCCAAACAAAACAGCTGTTACAACACTACTTGCGACGTTGCCACTTCGAAGGCCACAGCAGTTAAAGATGGCCGTTGCTATACTCATTTGTGGCTAAGGGGTGGGTACTACATTTATATATTCTAAAAGATTTTTTTTATGAAAATTATGATAGTTTGACAGCCCGCAGGATGATAGAAGAGGGCTCAAATAAGTCAAATTAGAGGTCTTTGTCCCAGGGAAAAAATGAGAAAATATTAAAAATATCTTCCAATGGATTGGGATTGATAAACATCGGCTTTGTTTATATTAAACATGTGGTTAAAAATGTATTATCATTTGTATTCTACTTTAAATTCTGTCGATGGAGTGCGTGTAAGAGTGTAGTTCGTTTACTGATCAACAAATAATTTAGATAAATTCTGCTTTCACTAAAGTGATCTAAAAATGATTAACTTACAATTTTCCTCAAACAATAAAATTATTATAGGCCTATATGTTTGCTGCCTTTGCAAAGTTAAACCTCTGGAATGATTCAAATTATATATTTAAAATAACATCGTCAAAAGCAAAAAAGAGGCTTAAACAAAATATTGTGAAAAGAACATTTTATTTAGAGTTTATTTTAATATGACAATAATTTGTTTTACATTTGAGCTTTTTAGATACTTATATAACGTCCTTACAATCCACTAGTAAATTATATTTAATAATTTTATCGCCAATAATTTAATGATCAATCAAAACTAAGAAATTTACGAATAGTATGAAATTTATTATGCTCGAAACATGTTAGATTAGTAAATATCATACGACTGCAGTCCCTGTCAGCAGTTCCAAAATATTTCGAATGATAATCTTTAATACATTCATATAAATTAATAATATATTTTAAATAGTTATTCTAACTATACAGGGTGTCCCGTAACTCTCTAGACCCATGTATATAGCGTTATTGCTTACTACTTACTTACTACTACTTATTGCTAGTAGGTCTTGGTCTTGTGGTTTTTTTACAAAAAAATATAATTCCTAAATGGGTTGAGATACAGTATCGAGATTTCGCAAAAATGTTTATCTTATTAAGACCTACTTTCGTTAAAATTAAAAATGTTACTAAAAATCATCAACCGTTTCAAAATGGCGTCCATTTAAAGTATTTGATGCCAAATATCACAAAAAAGTTGCATGCGACAAAAAATTAGAAAATTTTATGTCGTTTTCATTGATGCCTTATTTGTTGAATGGAATTAATAATAACAGAAAAATGAGATCTTTTCGTAATGTATGACCACTCCATTTAAACAATGTTAATACTCCTTTTACATTGTCCAAATATCTTAACAATCATCTGTTGTACTTCAATCAGGAGTTTTAAAACATATCGGCTGATTGAATCATTTGTTTTTGTTATTTATAAGTATAAGTTTTTGTTTGCTATACGTAACAATAATCCGACCAAGTATGACAAGTATGACGAAAAGTTTAACTATCCAATCACCGGACATTTTATTCGGACCGATGACAAAAATATGAAACGTTAAACCATCTGTATATATGAAGCGCTATCCGGCTCGAAGGACCAATATGAATCGTAATTATTTAATCTACATGACGTTATATCCAACTTGAATCGTTAAACTATGTAAACATAATTTTAACTGGCCCAAAGTACAAATAAGGTTAAACAATTCACGTGACATTCTATCCGGTTCGAAGGACCAAAACGAAACACACCATAGATGAACCATCTATAGCCAAACTATTTAATCCAACATTTTATTCGGACCACATTACCAAAATAAAACGTCATCCCATCCATATAGGTAATACTTTTATACATGATACTTATATCCGTCCCGAAGGAACAAGATTGGTGCGGCGTGGTTGCTACCGGCTCCCGGCGTTCAACACGGTACTCCACGCGATTGGGCGATTAACAGCGTTCCGAGCGCACGAACGAACAATGCCGTCAGTCTATTTACAATTCCAATGGTGCCGAAGATGGCGGACTTGCATCTTCGTACTCATCACCTCAGCCGCCTGTCAACGGTTATTTACGCACCCGCGCCGTGTGAACCCCGCCGAGGGTGGCTTTGCAAGTAAAATGTCGTGACTACAGTCTATCGCTATTTGGCTGCTCAGCTGCGATTTGCAAAACAGCTTCATACGTGATTTGGATTTTTATTGGTGAACTGAATGGATTGGATGGTATTTCTCCAAATTTGCAACAGAATGGTTACTATGAGCTTAATGGTTAAAATATGATACCGAAAAACGACTCGATCACGACCTTTGACAAAACCCAAATGAAAAATCGTGAAGTGTTTAAGAAATTGCATTTACTTGCATATCTGCTTGAAGTTTTTGTAAATGCCACTTGGATGACCTTTCAAGGTTTCTGAAACATAGAACTAAAACTGAACTTGTTGAAGAACTGATAAAACGTGATGTTGGCGATACCATTGTCCATTGCAAAGAATAAGACAGAAAACACTTTTTAGTGAAGGCTGAAACCATTCAAATGCTTTAGCGAAGGATAATGAAGATTATCTTACTTTGAAGCATAATGGAAGTTTACATGTTTTAGCAAATAATAGCTTAGATCTCTATATGTTTTAGCAAAGGACAGTGCAGCTCTATAAAATGTTTTAGCGATCTTCAAAGGGTAAGCAAGTTTACACATTTCAGCATTTCAAGGTACAGTCATCGATCTATAATATTATACAGCGATGGGTACAGTACGTGATTTAGCGTATCATAATGCAAACTCACGGTGTTTAGCGAAGAAGAATTTAGATTTACCCGCTTTATTTAGCTAAGGAAGATTCAAAATAACGTGATTTAACTAAGGATAATTCAATTCACGTTATTTACCGAAGAAGCGCACTGGTCTATATGCTTTAGCAATGGACATTTCAGATTTATCTAATGGTAATGCAGATTCACATATTTCAAAATATCTAAAATAGCTTACGTAATCAAATTTAGTAGCAATTTATTCAATTTGAATGAACCAATCAAAACACCATTTTAATTTGTGAGAGAGGGGTTCTCAGCGTTGCACGGAATTACAAAACATCACCTTAATATCATATTATTAAAAGCACAACCTACAATTGAGGAAAACGTGTGAGTTATTGCACGCATATCGGAAGAGACGGTTCTGTGTCGTCTGAGACTTACGTAAATACATATTTGACAATAACCCACAGTGTCTGGCTCGAACCCACGTGACCCACCTTCACGTGTGTAGCAGCGAGTTACGTCATAATCATGTAACCTTGGACGAAAATGTAAAAATATTTATACACGGGACTTTTATTTGTGGAAGTTTCCACACGAGATTTGCTGCGACGTTTCACGTATTGAAATAAGTGGTTATGTATTTGAGTGTATATAAAGTGTAGGGATTGATTATCTACGATTAAGTTACCCTTTTCTGATCAATTAATTGTTTAATTCACAATTCGTCTGTATGGCTGTCAGTTTTGACGCATATTGTGTCAACTGGAAGACTTAAAATTTGTAGGATGTCGTAATAAGTCTTAAAACACGAATAACACATACACACGTCACAAACGAACACAAAAACCACGGTTATGCGGGGGAACAGGATGCAGGACCTGTCCATTTAATTCAAGCTGCATACGATTGGTAACTAGCACGGTACACTTAATATATGTAATTGATCAACGGCAAAATGTGACGGCATCACTGATCTTGCCGGCATAGTTGATATTAACAGGTCGTACACAGTTGATGCTTATGATAATGTCCTCCTCCAGAAGGCCGTGGCGAGACAAAAGTGGCAACACCGCAGTCCCGGCCGATGTAGTGCCATCTCGGCCAAGTGCTATCTCGGCCAAAGCCTAATTTCCTAAGAAATGAGTGCTATCTCGGCCAGTGCATATTTACAGTTGATCAAACACACTAATTGGTGCTATCTTGGCCAATTTTGAAGACGACATGTCTTCAATTTTGAATCTTTCTAGGTTGTTCCTAGAAATTCCGCGTCCTACTACAATTTGCATAAATTGAACCATAAGACTTTGAGCATTATGCGAAGGCTCATTTTGTTCGTCTAAGAAAGAGGAATA